CTTTCCCCAATGCTTGTTTTTGTCAGATTTATTAAAGATCAGATGGTTGTAAATGTGTGGCATTATTTCTGAGGCCTCTGTTCTGTTCTGTTCCACTGGTCTATATATCTGTTTTGGTACCTGTACCTTGCTGTTTTGGTTACTGTAGCCTTGTAGTATAGTTTGAAGTCAGGTAGCGTGATGCCTCCAAATTTGTTTTTCTTTGCTTAGGATTGTCTTGGCTGTACAGGCTCTTTTATGGTTCCATGTGAGATTTAAAGTATTTTTTTCTAAATCTGTGAAGAAAGTCAATGATAACTTGATGGGTATAGCATTGAAGCTATAAATTACTTTGGACAGTATGGCCATTTTCACGATATTGATTCTTCCTATTCATAAGCATGGAATGTTTTCCCATTTGTTTGTGTCCTCTCTTACTTCCTTGAGCAGTGGTTTGTAGTTCTCCTTGAAGAGGTCCTTCACATCCCTAGGTATTTTATTCTCTTTGTAGCAGTTGTGAATGGGAGTTCACTCATGATTTGGTTCTCTGTTTGTCTTATTATGTTGTATAAGAATGCTTGTGATTTTTGCACATTGATTTTATATCCTGAGACTTTGCTGAAGTTCCTTATCAGCTTAAGGAGATTTTGGGCTGAGACAATGGGGTTTTCTAAATATACAATCATGTCATCTGCAAGCAGAGACAATTTGATTTCCTCTCTTCCTATTTATCTATTTCTCTTGCCTGATTTCCCTGGCCAGAACTTCCAACACTATGTTGAATAGGAGTGGTGAGAGAAGGCATCCCTGTCTTGTGCCAGTTTTCAAAGGCAATGCTTCCAGTTTTTGGCCATTCAGTATGATATTGGCTGTGGGTTTGTCATAAATAGCTCTTATTATTTTGAGATACGTTCCATTGTTACCTAGTTTATGGAGAGTTTTTAGCATGAAGGGGTGTTGAATTGTGGTTTTTGTCATTGGTTCTGTTTATGTGATGTATTACATTTATTGCTTTGCATATATTGAACCAACCTTGCATCCCAGGTATGAAGCCGACTTGATCATGGCTTGATCATATAGCTTTTCAATATGCTGCTGGATTCGCTTTGTCAGTTTTTATTGAGGATTTTCTCATCAATGTACATCAGGGATATTGGCCTGAAATTTTCTTTTTTTCTTGTGTCTCTGCCAGGTTTTGGTATCAGGATGATGCTGACCTCATCAAGTGAGTTAGAGGGGAGTCCCTCTTTTCTGTTGTTTGGAGTAATTTCAGAAGGACTGGTACCAGCTCCTCTTTGTATCTGATAGAATTCGGCTATGAATCCTTCTTGTCCTGGGCTTTTTTTGTTTGGTAGGCTATTAATTACTGCCTCAATTTCAGAACTTGTTATTGGTCTATTCAGGGATTCACCTTCTTCCTGATTTAGTCTTGGGAGGGTGTATGTGTCCAGGAATTTATCCATTTCTTCTAGATTTTCTAGTTTATTTGCATAGAGGTGTTTATAGTATTCTCTGATGGTAGTTTGTATTTCTGTGGGATCAGTGGTGATATTCCCTTTATCATTTTTATTGTGTCTATTTGATTCTTCTCTCTTCTTTATTTGTCTGGCTAGTCACCTATCTATTTTGTTAATCTTTTTAAAAAACCATCTCCTGGATTCATTGATTTTTTTGAAAGGTTTTTCTTGTACTATATCTCCTTCACTTCTGCTCTAATCTTAGTTATTTCTTGTCTTCTTTTAGCTTTTGAATTTGTTTGCTCTTGCTTCTTTAGTTCTTTTAATGGTGATGTTAGGATGTCGATTTTAGATCTTTCCCACTTTCTCCTGTGGGCATATAGTGTTATAAATTTCACTCTAAACACTGCTTTAGTTGTGTCCCATTGATTCTGGTACATTGTGTCTTTGTTCTCATTGGTTTCAAATAACTTATTTATTTCTGCCTTAATTTCATAATTTACCCAGTAGTCATTCAGGAGCAGGTTGTTCAGCTTCCATATAGTTGAGTGGTTTTGAGTGAGTTTCTTAATCCCGAGTTCTAGTTTGATTGCACTGTGGTCTGAAAGACTGTTTGTTATGATTTCCATTCTTTTGCATTTGCTGAGGAATATTTTACTTCCAATTATGTGGTCAATTTTAGAATACGTGTGACGCGGTGCTGTGAAGAATGTGTATTCTGTTGATTTGGGATGGAGAGTTCTGTAGATATCTATTAGGTCCACTTGGTCCAGAACTGAGTTCAAGACCTGAATATTCTAGTTAATTTTCTGTCTCATTCATCTATGTAATATTGACAGTGGGGTATTAAAGTCTCCCACTATTATTGTGTGGGCATCTAAGTCTCCTTGTAAGTCTCTAAGAACTTGTTTTATGAATCTGGGTGCTTCTGTATTGGGTGCATATATATTTAGGATAGTTAACTCTTCTTATTTCATTGATCCCTTTACCATTATGTAATGTCCTTTACCATTATGTAATGCCCTTCTTTGTCTCTTTTGATCTTTGTTGGTTTAAAGTCTGTTTTATCAGAGACTAGGATTGCAAACCTTGCTTTTTTTTTGCTTTCCATTTGCTTAGTAAATATTCCTCCATCTCTTTATTTTGAGCCTATGAGTATCTTTGCACATGAGATGGATCTCCTGAATACAGCACACCTATGGGTCTTGACTCTTTATCCAATTTGCCAGTCTGTGTCTTTTAATTGGGGCATTTAGCCCATTTATGTTTTAAGGTTAATATTGTTATGTGGGAATTTAATCCTGTCATTATGATGCTAGCTGGTTATTTTGCCCATTACTTGATGCAATTTCTTCATAGTGTCAATGGTATTTACAATTTGGTATGTTTTTGCAGTGGATGGTACCGGTTTTTCCTTTCCATGTTTAGTGCTTACTTCAGGAGCTCTTGTAAGGCAGGCCTGGTGGTGACAAAATCTCTCAGCATTTGCTTGTCTGTAAAGGATTTTATTTCTCCTTTGCTTATAAAGCTTAGTTTGGCTGAATATGAAACTCTGGGTTGAAAATTCTTTTCTTTAAGAATGTTGAATATTGGCCCCCACTCTCTTCTGGCTTGTAGGGTTTCTGTCGAGATATCCACTGTTAGTCTGATGGGCTTCCCTCTGTGGGTAACCTGATCTTTCTCTCTGGCTGCCCTTAACATTTTTTCCTTCATTTCAACCTTGGTGAATCTGATGATTATATGTCTTCGGGTTGCTCTTCTCGAGGGGTATCTTTGTGGTGTTCTCTGTATTTTCTGAATTTGAATGTTGGCCTGTCTTACTAGGTTGGGGAAGTTCTCCTGGATAATATTCTGAAGAATGTTTTCCAACTTGGTTCCATTCTCTCCATCACTTTCAGGTACACCAATCAAATGTAGGTTTGGTCTTTGCACATAGTCCTGTATTCCTTGGAGGCTTTGTTTATTTCTTTTCATTCTCTTCTCTCTAATCTTGTCTTCACTGTTTATTTCATTAAGTTGATCTTCAATCTCTGATATCCTTTCTTCCACTTGATCAATTTGGCTATTGATACTTGTGTATGCTTCACGAAGTTCTCGTGCTGTGTTTTTCAGCTCTATCAGTTCATTTATGTTCATTCTAAACTAGTTATTCTAGTTAGCAATTCCTCTAACCTTTTTTCAAGGTTCTTAGGTTCCTTGCATTGGGTTAGAACATGCTCCTTTAGCTCAGAGGAGTTTCTTATTACTCACCTTCTGAAGCCAGCTTCTGTCAATTCGTCAAACTCATTCTCCGTCTATTTTTGTTCCCTTGCTGGCAAGCAGTTCTGACCCTTTAGAGGTGAAGAGGTGTCCTAGTTTTTGGAATTTTCAGCCTGTTTGTGCTGTTTTTTCCTCATCTTCATGGATTTATCTACCTTTGGTCTTTGATGTTGGTGACCTTCAGATGGGGTTTTTGTGTGGACATCCTTTTTGTTGATGTTGATGCTATTCCTTTCTGTTTGTTTGTTTTCCTTCTAACAGTCAGGCCCCTCTGCTGCAGGTCTGCTGGTGTTTGCTAGAGGTCCACTCCAGACCCTGTTTGACTAGGTGTCACCAGTGCAGGCTGCAGAACAGCAAATATTGCTGCCTGTTCCTTTCTCTAGAAGCTTCGTCCCAGAGGGGCACCAGCCAGATGCCAGCCAGAGCTCTCCTGTATGAGGTGTCTGTCGACCTCTGCTGAGAGGTATCTCCCAGTCAGGAGGCGGGGGGTGGGGGGTCCGGGACCCAATTAAGGAGGCAGTTTGTCCCTTAGCAGAGCACGAGCGCTGGCTGGGACATCTGCTGCTCTCTTCAGAGCCTGCTGGCAGGGACATTTAAGTCTGCTGAAGCTGCGTCCACAGCCGCTGCTTCCCCTAGGTGCACTGTCTATAAGCCCCTGACTGGGGCTGCTGCCTTTCTTTCAGACATGCCATGCCCAGAGAGGAGGAAATCTAGAGATGCAATCTGATTACAGTGGCTTTGCGGAGCTGTGGTGGGCGCCACCTTGTTTGAACTTCCCAGCGGCTTTGTTTACACTGTTAGGGGAAAACCACCTCTTCAAGCCTTAGAAATGGTGGACGCCCCTCCCCCCACCAAACTCGAGCATCCCAGGTTGACTTCAGACTGCTATGCTGGCAGCAAGAGTTTCAAGTCAGTGGATCTTAGCTTGCTGGGCTCCATGGGCGTGGGATCCACTGAGCTAGACCACTTGGCTCACTGGCTTCTGCTCACTTTCCAGGGGAGTGAACGACTCTGTCTTGCTGGCATTCCAGGTGCCACTGGGGTATGCAGCTAACTCAGTGTCTGCCCAAACAGCCACCCAGTTTTGTGCTTCAAACCCAGGGCACTGGTGGCATAGGCACCAGAGGTAATCTCCTGGTCTGCAGGTTGTGAAGAATGTGGGAAAAGCATAGTATCTGGACCGGAGTGCACCATGCCTCATGGCACAGTCCCTCACGGCTTCCTTTGGCTAGGAGAGGGAGTTCCCTGACCTCTTGCACTGCTGGGGTGAAGCGACGCCCCACTCTGCTTCAGATCACCCTTTGTGAGCTGCACCCACTGTCTGACCAGTCCCAGTGACATGAGCCGGGTACCTCAGTTGGAAATGCAAAAATCACCTTCCTTTTGCATTGATCTCACTGGGACCTGCAGATGGGAGCTGTTCCTATTCAGCTATCTTGCCAGCTACTCTCTAATTCTTTTTTTACTACAAAATCTCTTAATTAGGCTGTGCTATATGACCCCATGAGCCGTGGAGAATTGAACTGTGAGGAAATGTCAGGTCATCTGTGGTTTGTGATGATATTCTGCAGCAATGATTAGCACATGCTGTTCAGCTGACATGGATTTTGTTTTTGGTTTAAATAAACTTTTTTGTTTTAGAATGGTTTTAAAAGTACAGAATAATTCAAAGCTAATACAGAGTTTCCATATACCCTATATCCAGTTTTTCTTATTATTTACATCTTACGTTAGTATGGTACATTTACAAGTAACAATAAAGTATTATTAACTAAAGTGTGGACTTTTTAAAGATTTCCTTAGTTTCTACCTAATATCCTTATTCTGTTCCAGGATTCCATCCAGGATGCCATATTACATTCACTCATCATGGCTTCTCTTGGCTATGGCAGTTTCTTAGACTTTCCTTATTTTTGGTGACCGTGACAGTATTGAGGAACACTATTTAACATTTTGTATGCTCTTAGCTGGGATGAGTCTGATGTTTTTCTCATTATTAGATTGGTGGTATAAATTTTGGGGAAGAAGACTGCAGAGGTAAAGTGTAATTTTCATTAGATCGTATGAAGAGTATATACCATTGACATGATGTTGACCTTTATCACCTGGCTAAAGAAGCATTTTTCAGGTTTCTCTACTGTACAATTACTCTTCCCCGCTCTGCCCGCTTCCATACTGAACTCTTCGGGATGTAGCCCACACTTAATAAATAAGGAGTTATGCTTCACCTCCTTGAAGGTAATATACATACCTAACATATATAAAACCTCGGCAGAATTATTAGGAATTCTTCTGCACAAGATATTTTTCTCTTCTCCCTTTATTTACTTAATCAATTATTTATTTATATCAGTATGGACTGACACATATTTATTTTGTACTTTGGCTTATAATCCAATATGTCTTTTTTTTTTTTTTTTTCTCATATTGTTCTAGCTTTGGCCATTGTGAGCTCTTTCAGTGGCATCTGTGTTGTCAACCCTTATGGGATTTTTTTTTTTTTTTCTTC